GGAGTGCCTTTGTTATAGCTTATATAAAGGGTGTATTTACGTGATTGATAATATTGTCAATATTGATCATAGTTTTTTGTCAATATTTACAGGATCGCAAAAAGTGTTGTAGCAGATTTGAAAATATTGTCAAACTGGATTGATCAATATTATCGATTGTGTGCCGGTTGCTTAAAGCCTCCTTTCACGATAGAAAGTGACGCTTGATGCAGTGATGTAATAAGTAATATTTTTATTTATTTTGTTAATCAATTTTTTGGACAACGAAGTGTTCAATTGTAGAAATTTTAGTTATCTTGCTGGTAAATTTTTCAGTGACATGTTTAGTCTGCGAGTATAATCTGTTGCTTCTCCGTTTGACCTATTGCTTATGATTGAATTAAGCGATTGACTTGCCGTTAACTGTTCGCAGTGCTTAACGAGAAAATATAATCAGCAGCAATTGTTCTTCCATCGGTTAGATCGCATCTCCGCTAATGGTTACACGATCAACGATAGACTTCCTGTTACCATTGTATTTCCTAACCTCAAAAATGTCGCAAAAAATAATATACGCGGTAGTTAAACAAAGTCGTATAACTAGATTTATCGCCAAATGAAATAACCAGCATTTTTTCGTTACATTCTATTTTCCTCTGTTCGATCTAAGTTAATTATAAGTAATCTAACTTAATTACAAGTGAGTCTAATCTAACTTAATCAAATTTTTCAGAATAAATTCTCTTGAAATAAATTAATATTGAAATTTGATATAAAAAAGTATGTTACACACGTGTTCAAGTGTTAATTGACGATTCGTCGACGGACTTGCATAGCGTTCGTGGTTAAAGGTGAAGGCGATCGATAGATCGATTTATTGGCAGCGTTCGGCGCTAGTCATCGATCTGTTTTTTTCCGTCAGGCCGCCTTTCTAGGCCAAGTACAAGTCGATTTACATTCCGTACTGTGAAATTTATGAAGCTATTCATTGAAATCTTGCCAGGGATAAATTGGATGTCCTCCGTCCTATCTTTGTTCACACTACCGTGACATTATGATCGGCCATTATGCCCTATGGACGTGGTCTAGGAATTGTAAATAGGAATTGTTATTCAGCGCGAGAGAAATTTATATTTTTGGCTTGCTGTAACTTGATATAATAGGTGAAGAATATTTTTTTAAGAAAAATATTTGAACTATCGTTTATTTCTGTAAGTAAAAGTGGTTGTTATACAGAATCGTGTAGAATTTATATTTGTACCTATAATGTCTACAGAGCGTTTAACGAACAATCAAAAAGGGAATTGCCCATAATAGGATAACAATTTCGAGAAGAAAATGTCCCTGCATCCCGTCACGCGATATAACGTGTTCGAGCTTCGTGTTTTAACCCCCATGACAGCTTGCAATTCAGCGCACATACACGGTGGGAAAGAAAAAATAATAAAAATATAATTTCTATTTCATATGTATGTTATATGTACAATCATCAATTTCCTTGCGAAAAAATTCAGTTCCAGTTATGTAGCAAAGAAAAAAGATTGATAGATCTAGGCCAGGATGGGGGGTCTATCCATTGCCTTATTCTTTGATTACAAGGAAGTAAAACGATCAATCATCCACTTCGTTCCCCGGAGGAGCATCGTTCTACATTCTGTACGCTATAATTGCTTCCTTCTGTAGAACTCGATATTCGTCTGTTTCTAAGAAATACGCTATACGAAATGAATGCTCTACCTATCCCATGTATTTGATATATGAAAAATATTGAAATTTATCTCGATTGTCTCTCAATATAAGGAATATTAAAAATTCTTTCAATTTTACAGTATAGAAAGTATATTTTATCTTTAAATTTTTCCGGTATAAAAAATATTGAAAGTAGATAAAAAAGAATTCTAAAATTACTAAAAATAATCTGTGCGACCGACGGAGCACCTTGAACTTAGCCGCGAAAAGAACCTCTCATCCTCGAGCCATGATAAAGGGGACAAAGGGCCGGCTGGGGGTGTTTTCATGAACGTCCGTTTTCAAAGTGACACAAAAGGCAAGAATATTTGAGCGTACTGGCCCGACGGTTGGTCAGCAAAGGCAGAGAAGAGGCATAGAACCGCGAAGGAATTAAACGAGGCTTCTTTTCTCTTTGCTAAGGTCCCTTTCACACGGAACAAAAGCAACGCGGTATCGAGGAGATCGCGATGTCTGTCAAAATGTCTTTTCAGACGTATAAAACGTGCAGGAAACGTTCTCGGGGGAGAAAGGAGGGACACGGTAGATAACAATTATTCTCGGCAAGAGAAAGGTCCTATCTCGAGTCACGAGAGGGGTCAACCGTGCCGAGCAGGATCTAACCTAACACGGGATTGTCGAACTGGAAAGGGCACGTGATACATCACCAACTATTAGATCGTTGCAAAGTTCGTTCTACCGAAGCAAAATCTTCACCGAACACTAAGAGATATATTGCACTCTTACTCACACACAAAATACACTTCTATCTGTGATTTTCATCGTTTCTCGGTGAAAAGTTAGATGCTTCGACGAGCACACAGTCCTTGTTGTGTAACCTGATACAGATCATATTCCGTCGGTTGAATGGGTATGCGGTGTAAATGTTCGTTATTTCTTCTCAAGCAAAAACTTTGTGGAATATGAAAATGTATTTCATTGTTTCTCAGTCGATGTGATTTAGCGAAAGAAGACGGTTATGTGTTCTAACCTCACTTAATTCCGAACGAAGGTATTTTCGTAGTAATATAATAAGAGTTATGAAATAATAAGCTTTTCACGTATTTTAAATATGAGAGATAAGTTGTGGCGTTTATACAGTGAAATTGTACACAATATTCTAAAACGGATATTCGTTTTATGTGCAAGGATACAAGCGCGTGGCGGAGGGTTAATTTTGCGGCCGATAGCGACGTCGCGAGCGGTCGTGCACTATTTTAGAATCCTACGGGTCGGCGACCTCCTCGAAGAGAGAGGAGCCGTGACTTCCGGTTATCGGTTTTATGAAACTTGCAACGAACTGACATTTAGTCACAACAGCTAGGCTATAAATAACGAGAGCGGCGATCACGTCGACGCTCGACCTGAATCGGTGATAAGTTAATTCATGTTACCTAGAGGATTGCTTTAACGTCAATTAACTCGTGCAATTAGTGCTGCATCGATCGATAACTGGCGGTAGTAAAGCCTGTTTGTGAAAGAGACAAAGAAGTAAGTGAATGAAAAAATCTTTGTATACACAAATTGATTCAAAGTGATTTTGAAGTACAGTGGACTTTGAATTTTTTCAAGTATGAAACATGGGAAGAAGCAATTTTTTTATTTCTTATTTCATGATTAAAATTTTTTAATTTTCGATCTTCTTAATAGTAGCGTTGAATAGTATTTAAATAAATGTCGGAGTACTTGAAATTCAAATCATTTCGAAAATTTCTTTCTTCTTTTTAATCAAAACGAATATTTTAAAGAAATTCAAATTTTTTAATATACTTACAAAGTAACCTCACTACAATGTACGACTTATCATTTTCTTTCAACTGCTCAGACAATTACAATTATCACATAATATGCATAGATACAATACAAGATACGTAATTATCTAAGTCGAACATTTGCATTTCCAGTAGACTAGGGAATATTTCTCTTTTCTTTTACAAATGTATTATACATTTGCAACGGATTTTGTATATAGAGTATACCGACTTATACTCGAGAGATCTTTCTCCCAGGATGTAAACTGTGATCGGTTGTGCTGGCTTACCGAAGCAATTTTTTAATGGCTGATTGGCATGATGCGGACACTTGGTTTTAGCCTACCTAATTACTGAATTGCTGAGTGATGTAACATCGTGTAACCTGCAGTGACGTAAAAGCGTTTAATGAACAGATTGCATCAGCAGTTCCTAAATTTGGCTTTTCTACCTCGAGTAGAATCTCATAATTAAATTAATTACAGTATTTCTCCATAAAAAATAAATTTTCTTTTTCGTAGAATTAAAATTAATTTATTTCGGAAAATTGAAATTATTATTCCATGGTTTAAATTAAAATTCTGTAAAAATTAGAATTATTATCGAAGAATTGGAATAATTTATAAAATTGTTTATAAATTTTTTATGGTTTGGGAACTGTTGCGACTAAAATTTGGAAAATTGTATCTTACATCGCTTTGCAAGTCGAGAAGCAATAAGAGCGCAGAGGTTCTAAATAAGAGTACCATCTATTCGGGTAGAAACCTTTGGAAATATCTCTTTTATTCAAGTAACCGACGGAGATGTAACTTATAGTGCTACAATACTTACACCTCTCTTACTTGTAAATACAGAAGAAATTTTCTAATTTTATCCTGGGAATGGACCTTCTTTGGAACACCTCTTTTCTACACGTTGTTTCTTGGCGACAAACCACAAACTCCCGCCAGAATAATACAACAATTTCCTTTTTCCAAATCTATTAATCTCATTCTCTACTTCTCTATCAATTAAAAATTTAAATTCAATTTAAAAGGGTCTTTTGGTCTGATAATTATCTGCTTTTTACCTCATATTATCCTTTCTGTCAGCCTGTATCTTCCAACAATTAACATATCACAATAAAAATAAATCATAGGTGACTCTGAAATATATATAAACAACTGTACAAAATATGAAGTAGCTACTCGTATTATTAGAATAAAAAAATCGCAAACTGTTGTCGATTCTTTTTAATTTCGAACTTCCCGCCTCAGTAATTTCAGTCAATAATTAAAAGAGAAACAAGACATTATGTTTCGTTTGACGCCAGGAAACAGTGGGAACAAAATTATTCTAAATAGCAAAAAAAAGAAAAAAAAAACAGTGAAAAGCGTGTTAGTAATTTTGCTACTGACAAAGAGGAAGATAAAAAAGCAATTTGAAACAAAACTAACAGCCGAATTTAACTACATAATAATGTCCCCTGTTCCCCCCTGCTCGACTTCTGTCACGCCTTCTGATTGACTCTCTGCATTGGCACGTTGGTGACTAACTATGAAGTCGGCATCACACGAGCACCAGCGAACACCGCACCTCGACGACCTCGAAGACCGAAGGTTGGGACAAGGTCGACCCTGCAGCACCGCCAAAGCGGTCCGCATTCGACAACTTCAAAAGGTGACGCTACTGTAAACACAGAAAAAACAAACAAACAAACAGATCTCTCTATTTCTCTATTTTAACGCTCAGAAAACTGTCCAAAATATGTTTATTAGTATCAACTTGTTAGTTAACTAGAGCTCTCTCTAGTAGATACCTGCCATTTTGTTTTTCTCACGATAGAAGTGTAATGGCGGATTGTCGTTCGATGTCAGTGGCTTGGTTTTGGAACTTGTGAACCTTTCATTAGTTTTATGTGAGATTTTTGGAAATGTTTGGGAAATTTGCAAACTTTGAACCAAGATTATACTGGATGATGCACGTAAAACCGATCCTAAATGTGAAATACAGCTGTATTTTCACATGTCGACGCTGTCGCGTATGCGCACATGAGTTCGATGAACCTCCACCGTACCAGATATTACTTGAATGTTTAGTGTATTATTACCAAACAATTGGGGCTGTTTTCATGTGCACCGTACGGTCGATAAAATTTAAATATCAAAGACACGATTAAGTTCCAAAAACAACGATATCAATTGTCAATTTTTTAACAACAAAAAATTGTCAAAACCAGCGCCACAATCGAAACAACTGCTCATACATCCCCTCACTTTACTTCCCTCCACCTGCCACCTCTCTTTCACTGCTAATATTTAGCCACACCATCACGAAGAAAGAAAGCACTATGTTTTTAAAAGGTAACGAGCGTATGCATTTTTCACACAAATTAATTAACCTTACTCCAGTAGTGCACATACTCCACTATACACTAAAAAATAATAAACAATGCTTTTGGTGTGGTTTTTCGCGTGTTTCGCTGCAGCATTCGAACACTAATCTAACCTCCAACCGATAGTCACCCCCAACAAGTAGTATCTTTAGCACGACTAGTTATTCATCGTGAACCAGTCTTTATGTTGTTTTCGTTGTTATGATTATACGTTGCATCATCACCGCCATCTTAGGTAAGACTGTCTCTATCGAACTGTGCACCCAGGTCACCCGTAGGCGAACGAGTCCACGTTCAGACTCTAGCGTTCCTGTTTTTATCATTTGTATCGTTTCTCAATCGCAATCACATCGTTGTCAATGCACATTCGACCATGTCTTCTTTTTCTTTTTTTTTTTTTGTTGTACACAATGGTTCAGAATGAAAGTTAAAAATTTTGACAGATTGTTTGGGAGGTTATGCGATCGTAGATTCTGTTATCAACACTTACGTAATTGTAATTTTATTGCAGTCATGGTTAAAACGCAAGCTTGATATGAAGTGACCGTTAGGAAATTGAAACGAAACAAGGAAACACGAGATATTGGTTATTCAAAATTGAAGTAAAATGATAACAAACGTCATGTCAACACGACGATACATTTTCCCGCCATTAATGGCGATAGTTTACAATATGGCGGTCGTAGTCCCATGGCTACCAACACTTCGAAACTGAAACTCTTTACATCGTTACTCGTGGAGACATTTGAAACAGTTAGTGTATAGTGTTGAAGTAAACACATGTGAACAATTGTATGCAATCCGTCGGTACAGTGTCAGCACACTTCGAGCATTATACAACTGAATAGTGAATAAATATTTATGTGTTTTATTTTAATTTCTTCAATGTCAGCGACAAGTTTCAACCGTTGTAACTGTATGAGTATCGAGAATAGTATCTGCTCACATAACCTCCAAAACAATCTGTCAATGTGTCTTACATTCCTTCTGAAATATCGTGTAGTATCTAATTAGAATGCAGCTTGATGGAATGGAAGGTTTGGCAATAATCGATGGTTCGTTGTATTGAATCTTGCAGCACCACCACGCAGAGCACTCAGAACAGCAGTTCCCTGAGCCCTCAACATGACTCCGCTTGGCTCGATGGCCTGAACAGCCCCCTCATCCAGGACGAAGGCGACAGCAAAATGCTGAAGCTTCGGTTCGATGTCTCCCAGTACACGCCCGAGGAGATCGTTGTCAAGACTGTGGACAACAAGCTGCTGGTGAGTACCCTTTCCGTTGTTCCTCTTGAGCTTCGAGTGGCTTGTTAGACTTTATTCAGTTTGGGGGGGCGGGGAGGGGGGACCAGTGTTCCTTTTGGAGGTTAGGAAGGGACTTCTTGTTGTTAGGTTGTGTTAAATTTTTGAGGGTTTAATTAGAATTTAGGAGTGTGTTCTGTTAGTTGAGAAGATAAAATAATTTTCTCTTCGATTTTAAATATGTTGGCTGACTATGTACAGGGTGTTTCAAAAAAGATAGAAGAAATTTATATTCATGTAATAGTTTAAAATATTTGTAGAAAAATTTTGAATAATACAGGGTGTTTCAGAAAACTGTTAACACTTATATTAGAGAAAGAGGACTGATAACACAGTATATTGTATTAACAAATGTATTTTGTCTTTAAAGGGATTGTTTTTTACTTTTCTCAAGCACCCTGTATATTAGCATGAAGTTTGGTAAATATTAGTTTGTACAATATTTAATTTGATAGAATATTTAGAAAAGTTCATGTTAATGTTAAAATGATGTATTAAAATATACAGGGTGTTTCCATTGATTGTGTTGAAAATTATTTTCCAAGAAACTGTTTGAAGTAAATACAAAGTTCAGCAACAGTGTGACCTGTTCTCTCTTACTAAACAATAATGTTACTATAAATTAAACCTATGATCCAAAGTGTCGCACTATGTACACTAATGTACAGAGAGAGTTCAGAATTAGACTTTCAAATCATGGGAATATATTGAGCCACAGGCGAGTACATTCGCCTGGAGCAGTTAAAAGGTTAAATGTTTCGTCTGTGAAGGATCGCATGACTTTAACCGCTGTATCCTCGTAGTTATTGGAACACGCTCCTAAAGTTCGCCTAGGCTCTCTAGGAATCCTACGTTTAAACATGTGCTCCACTGTAGAACATTTGAATTAATCACACGAAAGGAATACATACTACGAAAAGAGCAACAATTTAGAACATCGTACCTGATTATACAGTTTGCACAGATTAACAGTAATTCACTTCATTTCGATAGATTCTTTACTATACAAATTCTTTAGGATAACATAACCTAAAATTTGCACTTTATTTCGATAGATTTTTTTATGTATAAAAATTCTTTAGGATAACATAACCTAAAACTTTTCTCCAAAAATTCTTTAGGATAACAACCTAAAATTTTTCTCTAAAAATTCTTAGCTTTATTAAACTTTTTGTTAAAAGTAATTATAAAATTTTGATCACCGTATATGTAGTACAATAGGACACACAAGTTTCCAACATTTCTCTAAATATTCTACACCCAATATTCTAAGCATCCACAGTAACGTCTAAAATTAAAAATGTCGGTGAACCGGTATTTTTAGGATTCTGTTCGCATTCTCGATCACGATAGTTATATTTCAGCGCCGATACTGGCGCGTTGACAAAGACTAATCGTCACCGCGAATTCACTATTCTAACTGATTTTATGAACACTACTCACTGCTCAAATTAAATCCCAATTTTCCATCATATGTACATACGTGTGAAACTACGAATTAAAGTGGCACACACGCTTGAATGACTTCAAAAAGATCAATTTTATTTCAATATTTGTATTCTAAAGTACGTTATAAATTTTTACGTTAAAATTTAATAAACAGCGAAAAGTTAAACAACACTGTCAAAATTCGCGTAGTTATTTCCATGTCTATGAAATCCTTGCCAGCAGCCACCTATCGTCAAACGAAAGTAATTTTCACGGTAAAGATAACGGCGCTACTGTATGAAGCGACAGTGCGTCACTTAATTGGGCCGCATAGACAATTGGCATGCGACTTTCTTCTTTGAAGATCTCTACTTACTGGTCGATGTTTCTACTAAGACCGCCACAAATACGAAATTATTGCGACTGAGTCATCGTCCTATGAGCATATTTCGCTGTTCTAGCGTCGCTTGTTGCACAACTTGGCAACCACCGAATCTGGTCCACCATTTTACGTAATCACTGTCTCTTACGTAGAACACTGTGGATTGTGTGAATGCTCCGGAGCTTTAGTTACCTTGATGAGGTTGATATTGTTCTTCTGTGAATTTAGCTTATTCCAGATACATCAGTATTTCTTGATGAAAGGTTATGGTTTTACAAGTTGAATTGGAAGAATTCATTCTTGAATCTGCATCATAATTATAGTATTAAAGGTTAAACATTTGGCGGATTTAAAAAGGGTTCTAATGGTTAGATGTTTTAAAATGATCCAGTGTATTAGGTAGTACCGATATTTCAACAGTTGGAGATCTCACCAGGAACCTAACTCAACAGGTACTTTGATCAAAGGTAACAAGTGTCTATAGTAAGTTATATGGATGTCAAGTCTCTTTGTAGTCAAGAGTGTATAGTCTTTCACTCGGATATATTTGTGGTTAGTTTCTTTTCCTCTGTCATTTCTTCTCAATATCTTATAAATAGATTGAAATATTGTTAGACATTAAAACAATGAATATATTTGGATGTGGATACTAAAGTGGCAAAGAATATAAGGATGTTCATTTCCTAATTACTTCATTGTAATTATTGAAATTAAGTTTAATTACAATTAAACTGTAAATATTGAGATGGAACAATTTAAATTTTCTCGGTGGTGGTCATAGATCACCAATAGTAAAGAGAAGGAAGTGTGACAGGCACCAAAAGTGTGGTTAAGTTTGGTTAGGTTACGTTGAACACGCTTTAACAGTAAAATATGTTCGTGCATTATATTCTTCCACCTTTTATCAAATTCCTATACCTATCCTTATCTGTAAAAATTGAATCTTATCGTAGTAATCATAGCAAACTTCCAAATCGTGCCGAAATTCGGTAAAAAAAAGAAATTCGTTAATCTCTAAATTCTGTTAACTCGAGGAAAATGTGAAGAAGTGGCTTTCATCGGGGTGGATCGTCACGCGAATGGAATCCAATCGGCCATTTATTCCTTGGTATCTATTTCGAACGCGCGCGAGTGCGAGAAAAGCCGGGTGCCGAAATGACGGGCGACGCGAGGCATTTCGTGCACGCCTGGCCAAGAACGGGGCGAACAGGAAGCGGCGGAGAATTTTACGCCGCTTTGCCGCCACTCTCGCGCCTCTATATGAACCATGTGGACATTCTAATTGCTCTCGTTGCATCATTTTCCGGCAGGAAGTCGTCTCCACCGGTGGTAACTCGCGTAAGGACAATTCTTGTTACTTAAAACTGACGCGTCTTCGTATAATGGTAATTAAGCCACAGATTCTCTCTGTGTGCTCGACTAGTTTCTCCTCTCCTCTGCAGGGTGTCCCATTAATCATGGTATAACCACACGGATAAGTTGAAATTGTGAAATAGAATTTTCACGTTCGAAGTTTCGTTTTCGAAAATTTCTCGCATACGCGTATTGCTGCTTTTGTATTATTCTCTTCTCTCTTATACAGGGTGTCTCGTTAATCACGGCGAAGAAGGGTGATTTTTCACGAATAAATAAGTCGAAATTGCAGAATAAAATTTTCACAATACGAGACTTTATTTTCGAGAGAATTGATTTTGAACATTCCCCGCATAAGCGTACTTCTGCTTTTTTTTTTACGTCGATTATTTTCGATCGAATCAGCGTTCACATCCATCGATAGTAATACGTTCTAAGTGGTGTAAAGTTGAAAATAATTTTCAACGTCGCCGCCAATGCATGTGAACGTTAATGTATATTAGTGATACGCCTATGCGAGGAATTTTCAAAATCGGTTTTCTCGAAAACGAAGCTTCGTACGTGAAAACTTTATTTTACAATTTCGACTTGTTCTTTCGTAAGGAATCACTCTTCACGATTATTCGATCACTCTGTATAGAATGTGTATAACACGTAGTCGATAGGTAGGAGATTAGTTTTAGGTTAGTTTTAGGTATCAGAGGGAGAAGAATTTGCGCAGGAAGTCATAGCCAAAATTTTCTCCGAGGCACGTTCAAAGTTTCTCCTCTCTGGCCGGCGTTCCCGTCGACCTGGACGGAAATAACTTGCACCAAAAATAAGTTTACGGTGCTCGTCACACCGCGACGGCTTGGAATAATGTTCGGCCATTGTGAGTCTCCTGCGCGCCGCCACCCTATGACAATATGTATACGCCTGTTGCCAGTTTCTCGACATTTCTGTTTATACCATTTCTCCCTGCCTAAAAATATACAATGATTTATCATTAAATTTCGTTTGATCTAGTAGATGGGTTGAAGGATAGAGTGCTTGGAATTTTTGTTAAAAAATCTGTATATAAACATGACTATATTCTTGTTGTCTGTTACTAGGCTAAAATAATTGAAGTTACCATTGCCTACAATACTACTTACAGAAAAGAAGGTTATGTAAAAGTGATTAATTTTAGATCATATTAAATTTGCTTGGTAAAAATTCAGACAAAGAAATAAGTAATTCAGAATAAATATAAATAAGAAATATTGAATTATTATATTCCTATTTTAGACTACTTACATTTGGACAAAAATTCAAAAACGTAAATCAAAAAATTTCCTACTTTATTTCTTCTTCAATCTTCATAATAAAACAACTATCACGTTCACTTTGCTAAAAACAAATGCGTGCAACAACTTTGTTTTAAAGTATTCTCCAGATTTTGTCCAAAGTTTGAACAGAATGTGATACAGCTCTCTGGAACGAGGTAAAAGATTGAAAGATTAGTGGTAAAGAGAGAAAGGGTGAAAAGTTTTCGAGGAGCATGCCGCAAAAATCGAATCCTACCGTTATGCAAACTCGGTAGGTCGTTGCACTGCGATAGACTGTCGGAGCGTAAATGGAAGAAAGATCAAAGTAACGGAGGATCGTGTGTACACCCACGAACAGGGACGGCTTTATTCCGATTTCCTCGCTAAACGGCCAGTCTGTCTCTGATAAAACTAGGGGCCCCTCTCTGTCTTTGTTTTTTCTTTTTTTTTTTTTTTCAGCACCCGTTGGATCACGAGACAATGACACGGAAACTAGCGTTATTAAGGCGCCGCCA